GCTTGGAGGATCAGGATATGACATGTTTATCACATTAGTCATGTCTAGACCACCTACGCTGGCTTAGATGAACTTCACCTTCACTTACAGCAACATGAAGATTTGTTCAAGAAAAACCAGTTCAAACTGATAGAAGATGTTCATGATGTGTTAAATGTCAACTCTTAGAACTCCAATATGGCTACTAGAGACCGTGGAAGAGGAAGAAACATTCATTGTCATGGGCCTGGCAGATTCAACCCATCCATGCAGCATTAAGGAAATAAAAAATGTGTGGGTTATAAGAATCTGGAATAAGGACAAAATGCCCAAGGAATTTTAGCAGTACCCAGCCAACCAGTGCCAACCAGCCCCATCACATGTCAGCTTTGAGGAAAAACGAATCACATTGCCTCCCAATGTTACCATAGATATGATGCACGCATTCAAAATATTGCTGCATTGACACACTCAATTGCAAATCTAAATATATTGCAGCACCGAATGCCTACTTTAGTACTACCTGATGTTTCTTGGACTATGGATACAGAAGCTGCCAATCATATGACATCTGATGCAGGTAAGTTGATTTCCTTATATCTATATGTTGGTAAAGGGAAAGACCTTGCAGGGGATGGCACTCAAGTCCCCATCACTTGCATTGGCAATGTTGTTGTCGCCTCATCTTTGGGATCCTTTTCTTTGCCTAACACCTTTTTGGTTCCAAGAATAAATGAAATCTTATATTTCGTAATTGTCTAATGATCTAGTGCTTTTTGATATTTACTCTGACTCTGTGTTCTTAAAAGATCTTCACAAGAAGACAACATTCACTTACAGAACACAAAAAGGGAATCTATACTTTATTGAGAAACCTTCATCATCAAGAAGTTGCATCAAGGATGGTCACAATCAAGAAATGAGGTCGTCGTCTTCTTAAAAGATCTTCACAAGAAGACAACATTCACTTATGGAACACAAAAAGGGAATCTAAACTTCATTGAGAAACCTTCATCATCAAGAAGTTGCATCAAGGATGGTCATAGTCAAGAAATGAGGTCTTCTCTCCTTCCAGTTAAGCCTGCTTCAGCTTTCTTTCCTGATAAAGCTTAGTAGTCCACATGGCGCAAGCTACTTGCCCATTGTGGGCAAGGTCCTCTTGAGAGTCTAAAAAAATTACATTTGATTTCATGTTATTCAAATAATAAAAAAATTGAAGTTTTAAGTTCCAGCCGATAGCTCGGCAAACATTGTGAGCTTCCTTTCATATTAATAATAAAAGAGCTAATTTTCTTTTAGAGTTAGTACAGACTGATGTTTAGGACCCTTCACCTGTAGAATCTAAATCTCATTCGAAGTATTTTGTTCATTGATGATTACAATAAATTCACTTGGATCTTCTTTTTGAAGCAACAAAATAATGTTTTGATGTCTTTGTTAAATTTCCATTCTTTGTTAAGTCGTAAATGCCGTATTACTCGATTCTGAAGTGGTGGATAAGCGGAGCATACATCTGACAAATTCAGAGATCTTTCCAACAATAGAATTAAGCAAGAGCTTTACTGTCCTCACAAAGCCCAACAAAATGGTACACTGGGAAGAAAGCATGAACGTATAAAGAAGCAGCCCTAAGTATGTGTAGAGTTCCCAAAACGTGGAGTGAGGCTTTTCACACTGTGGTACCTGCTACTTATCGGTTGCCTTCCATAAACACGAGTAGAAAGTCTCTATACTTTATTCAAGGAGGACACCTGGACTATACCTAGCTATGACGATATTGTTGTGTTCATGTCGACAGATCAAAGGGATAAATTGATGCCAAAAGCTGAAATGTGTGTATTTATAAGTTATACCAATACGCACAAAAGGATATTCTTGTTATGTATCCTCCCCCAAAACTTCTAAAAATTCAAAGGGAAAACATTCAGGTTGCTGCCCAAGAACCCAACGTTGATCGTTGTGCCCTATCGCTAACAAATATGATTTGAGCTTGTCACATGGTGAACTAGCAGCTAATAGAAGTCGCTTATTTGAGGAAGATCAAAGTACAGCACATGAAAATCACAACAAAGAGCTGATAGTCTAACCAAGACGAAAGAGAAGGGAGAAGAAAGAAGCCCATGAAAGACATCCCAAAAATTGAAATTGTGCATCAAGAAGTAGAGACCACGACCGAAAAACCCGACAGATCCCTCAACACTCAAGAACGATCAAATCAAGGATGTAGTACCTCACAGTCCATTGATGTTGGGATCAAAATCAACTCATAAGATCAGCCTGCACTAGGCATCCCATAAAAAGTTGGGGTAAGTTATGATTCTTCCTATTGAACATCAAGTTTTCTTGACAGAAATTCTGAAATAGTGTGAGCCGGGTTCATATAAAGTAGTGGGTGAAGAACGCAACATGGATAGAGCAATGAATGAGGAGATTCAAGCACTATAGAAACGTAGAAAGCGGGTGATAGTTGCAAGATCAAAGACAAAAACATTGTGGGATCAAAATTGTGTGTAGAAAATAAGGTAACGCTGTGTGATCAAAATGAGTGTATAAAATAAAGTATAAGGCTGATGGTTCCATTTAGAGGTTCAAAGCAAGGATATTTGCAATGGGATATAATCAAGAACATGGATTAGATTATCATCATCATCCAAGTCTTATCCCAATTATTTGGGGTCAGCTACGTGAATCTTGTCCCTCATTTTTTCTCATAGGTTCAGGATTCATGATAAGTTGTGGCAAAGTTTTATGCTTGCTACCTACCTAACACAACCTATCTCCTTTACCCGAGCTTGGGACAGGTTAAGGAAAAGTTTAAGGTCTTCACCTTCATTAGACCATTTAGTCCTGTTGAGAAAATGGGCACGATTAGAGTTATGTTTGCCTCTTACACTAGCTCATGAAAGACATCCCAACTATGGAAATTGTGCATCAAGAAGTAGAGACTAATAAGGAAGAGCCTATTACATCCCTTAAAATTCAAGGACGATCAAATCAAGAATGTAGTAGTACCTCATAGTCCAACGATGCTGGGATTAAAATCAACTCATGTGATCAGACCGCACTAGGTAACCCATCAAAAGCTGGGCAAGTCATGACTCTCTTTCTATTTCATAGGTAATTGCCACCAAAAGGATATTGAAGTGCATAAAAAGCATTACAAATGATGGGTGTCTTTACTTGAAAATAATCCTAAGGATACGAATCCCATAAGGATTATAGCCTTTTCAGATGCAGATTGGGTTGGGGATCCAAGTACTAAGAGGTTGTCTACGAACAACAACTTGATATCATGGTGTAGCAAGAAGCAAAGAACAGTAGGAAGGTCATGCACATAAGCTGAGTATAGGGTAATGGCGGCAATTACCTATGAAATTGCATGAATAAGGAGCACATATATGGCTCTTGGGCACAAAGTGTTCTACATTGTGACATCCAAAGTGCAATAGCCATTTCTTGACTCCAGTGTCATGTAAGGACCAATCACATTCAGATGGATCAACATTTTGTGAGAAAGGTAATGAAAGACAAAGAAGAGTTGAAAAGTTTGTTGGGACCAACGAATAGGTAGCCTACATTTTAATTTGTTGGCCTACATTTTAACAAAAGAGCCAAAGCACTGAGACAAAGACTTCTAAAAGGCAAGCTTACTATGATTGTTGTCGATGTACAGCTCGAGGAAGCATATTGACATTAGATACAAGGACAGACTTGTAAATAAGACAGTCATGTTTGGAACATGGTTACTGGGATCTCACAACTAAGGTGGCGATCTCGCTCCAGGATCACAATCTGACATTCCTTTATCAGGATCTCCATTTGATCTCCATCCCTAATCTTAGAAATCTGAATCCCTAGTTTTAGAAATCTTATGCCAACCTTACCACAAAAACTACATCACAATGATTGCATAGAGTCATAAACTACATCATAATTCTATAGTTGCATCAATTTGAGCCTAATAAATTCTATAATATTTTGAATGATAATAAAGTTTTTAATTTTTAATATAATTAATATTTTAAATCATTTTTATTATGAATACCGATATTATAGAATGATTGAATCTTTTTAAAACTTTTATTAAAGTTTCTATCTAAAAAAAAATATTAATTAATAAATTGCACAGAACATGCTCCCGACCGAGGGAACTTACTATATGTGTCGATCCATCTTTCCTGCTCCTGCCCCCAACCCTGCTCCTCCGGGAAACTACTGTTTGGTTTTATTTATTTTGTACTACTGTTTGATATTGCCATGGGCATATTTGTATTGCTAACAATATAATGGTCTGTTTTGGAGGATCCATTGCAGATTCAACCACTCCTCTTATGCACGACCTTTGTCTTCTCCTTTCTTTCACTACAAGGGGTGCCTTAAATATTCTTTTTCAACCCCTTACCTAATTTATTTATGGGTAACAGGTGGCACTCATAACATTTGCCTTGAATTTCTCTCTATCGCTGATATATAACTATATTTATAACTAGGGGAAGCCAATTGCCTAAAAGGAAAGAAATAAAAAATATTAAGGTTATGCAGTTTTATTTGTCATGACTTGGGAAATCAATTCGACAGATGGTCCTGACCACCAAGTTCAAACTGACAATTGCTGGTCAGAGACTTTCTCAAATATTTGTGTCCACCGATCATATTCCCAGGTTTCAGGCTTCACCACAAGCCAAGTGTCGCCTTGGTGCTTCTATTGAAAAGCATTACATTAAAATTTTCTTGAGCGATCAAATTTGGAGAACTGATGTCCCTATAAACCAGTAAATAAAAATAACAAAAGCTACATGCACGTTATTACAAAACTAGGATTGAATGACATAAGGACATGTATATGCAGTTCTCTCTTACTCACTATTGCTTAAAGTTTGATAAGTGCAGGAAAAACGCCTAATCCAATACAGAAAAGAACGAAAACTGCCACTACTTGAAGGCAACATCCAGCCAAAAAAATTGAAGCTACGAAAACCAAAATTCTTCAGCAACAACCACAAGGAACTGTTTACTATTACCTCTGTAATATATGGTTTGGACCACTTCTCCCACATATCAGGTGTCAGCTGGCCACCCCATGAATCAAATATTTGAATGCATTGCGCTCCAGAATTAACTTGGAAAACAATATAGTCAGTTATTGCCTGTGTAAGATGAGAGAGAAGACCCTTCAATATATGTGGTGCAGTATGGCACATGCCTTTAATAGTTGCATATGTACGAGTTGTACAACCTTCTACAATATATGTAGCAATCGTCCATGGTGCACCCACAAAACCCAGGACTGCTGCTCCACTTTCTACCTAGGAAATAAATTTTAAAGGTCATTGCCACACAAAATAAATATTCATCGACATCTGAACCTACAAACTTAAGCAGGAACAATAAGGTAAGGAGCATGCTTCAAAGTGCAAGCAGTTACACCCCCAAAATCCACTGAAATTGGTAAATTGTGGAAAAAAATAAAATAGGTTTCTCGTCCTAAATGAACCGATATGCATTCTTTGTTTGGTGGAAAATATAAATGGTTTTAATCATTTACACCTCTTTGTTTCTAACTGTTATGCCTACCCCAAATAGTTGGGAAAATGCTCTAATGATGATGATGTTTTTAAGTTTTGGATGCATTATCCAATTGATTTCTGACTTCCACAGTTTCAATCTCCAAGTAGAAAATTTTTAAAACATCAAGCTCAGCCAAAAATGCAACCAAATATAAAATCTTTTCACCATTCCATCACAAAACAACTCCGCATCCATAATATTGAAGCTCGAATGCTTCAAACTGCAAATGAAAGTCAAGCATTTACATGTCATAGTATTCAAATGTGAAACATGGAACTACATCGCAGAGTAAAAAAATAGGAGTATGGCACATGAACATGAGTTAAACTTAAAAGACATCATCCTTACGGAGTGTACAAGTCTAGATATGACTCCACCAAACCAGATATTTACATGACATCAACATGAAAGGACATCAAATATAAAGCTAAACTATAGAAAAGCATTTATTATCCATCACAGGCCACCATGGCTACTAAAATGAGCTACAGGTTGGTTAAGGTTAGTCCATTTCATATATCAAATGAAGAGAAATCCAGGCAATGCAATGCATGTGATTTCCAATATGAGTTAGTCAACATTGTTTGAAGGAGAGGTTTGCAGCCCAGACCTCTTTCTTAAGAATGGTATATATCTCCTCAATAGATTAAAACCTGATTGAATATCCAAAAGAAAACAAATCCACCACTAACATAACCAATAAAAAGTATGACATATATGTTAAAAGGTAACCATGTGGTGTACAAAATGTAAATGTAAGAGAGAGTTGTTTATTAAGATATTTCTGGGTCAGTTGTGGTACAGCATAATTGTAAGAATAGTTGGTCTTGTAAAGATTGTCTATGCTCTCTTATTCAAAAACCTTCATAGGTGAGAAAGATGAATGCATAGAATTTAATAGATCCTCAAAAAGAAAAACATTGAGATTCCTCTTCATTTAAGACCTAGATAAAATTTAACATGGCAATAGAGCAGGCTTAATGCCGAAGCCAGAAATAAAAGAGAATGCAAAAGCTAAGTTGTAAAACCAGAAATCTGGTTTCTTAGAGGGGCATGACACAGATGTTGGAAATACAACAAATTTCTTTAGAGCAGGAGAATTAGGACACAATTCAGGGTAAGTATACAGGATTTTAGAATTCACTTCCAAATATTTTTGACCAATTTTCATTGGGTTTCCATTGCAACTTGCATGTACTATTATTGACTAGTTCATACAACATGAATGGTGATATTCCTTATTTCCTTCACTCTTGACTATCTCCATGAGTTTACCTCAGTAACAAAAAATATGTATTTCTTTGAACAATCCTTCATCAGTGAATAGTGAAAGTAAGTTTTTTAGTAATTACATATATGTACATACATATAAATGATAAGATACATATTATAAATTCCAAAGCTGTACACATCTAGGCTTGAACACTTGCAAACTTTTCGTGAACTTTCTGGCATTAATTTAAACTCCAGCAAGTATTTTTATTTTCAAGCCAGTTTATTGATGTTAACATAGTCATTTCTTTCTTTTCTCTCTCTCTTCTCTTCTCTCTCTCTCTCTCTCTCTCTCTCTCTCACACACACACACACACACACACACACGCACGCACACCCACTCACATGCACGCACATACACACATGCACATTAACGCAAAGAGGTTTCTATGACCTATATCTTTTGTAATATGATTTATATGGTCATCACAACCCTATGGTGATGGAGTTATTAACCGTTCTGATGTGTTGGACGAAGAGTAGGAACTTAAAATTCAATTACCTGTATACATGACAAAATCACTCCTCTTCATCACCATCCAACCCATTTATTGCATGGTGATGAACTACATGATCATGGTTGTGACTATGAACTTTTCCTTCAATAATCTTGCTGAATATCGACTGTGCTAATATTTTTCAGCAATATAATAATACATTTTCAGTTTCCATCTTTTGATAGATCTATCATGGTTCTCAACACCACGAGAGCCCTGTGAGACATTTTCCATTGGCCAGATGGTCTTCGTAACTCAATGACCATGAGGTAAATGTAAAATATTTTGTTCACGCACGACAAAGTAAAATAGAATAATACAATATTAAATAATATTGTGCAAAATAGAAAATATTCATATTGTCAATTTTTTTCATTCTAGTTGGTTCTAGTTGTCCATCCAGCTTACATAGATTTTGTTAACTAATTAAATTTATATATATCTAAAGTTGAACATTTGCAAGCCTTTAATAAGCTTTCTAGAATAAATTTGAAACTCCAAACAGTATTCCCGATATTGAGTTTATTCCTTTATTTGGATTTGGTTAATGTAATTGTTCTACTCATATAACTCTCTCTCTCTCTGTCTTTCTCTCTCTCTCCCCCTCATAATACTAAGCAATTCCATAGATCACCATCTTTTGTATCTATATCATCATCATAAATCCCATAATGATGAGGTTATTAATTATACTGGGCAATGACAGATGGGGAGCAAGGATGCAAATTCATTTCAATTAGTTTTATAGATGGCGAAAATTTATTCTCTTCCATTACAATCCAACTATTGATTCCATGGCGATGAATCACATGATGGTGGCTGTGACTGACCATATAACTCACATAGTATTTTCTCTTTTGAAATCTTGGTCAACATTGATTGTGCTAGGACACTCTAGGCATATAATTCTATAGCGTGGGATTCCATCTTTTGAATGTCTCTCAAAATTTTCATTACTAGACTATTCATGTAAGCATTTTCCATGGCTCATCATACCTCATTGCCATCAGGTTAACATTGAGTGGAATCATATATCAAAGCAATTAAGAAAGAAAAATCATATACACTCGTTTTGTCATCATCATTCATTATCATTATCATAGTCTTTTCCCAATTAATTGGGTTCGGCTAACGAATCTTGGTCCGTCATTCTGCCCTATTAAAGGCCATACCCTCAATGAGGCCATATGTCCCCATATCTTTCAGACTACTTCCAACCACGTCCTTTTGGGACTACCCCATGCCTTTGCAGCCCTTCTACTTGAACTAACTCGTACCTCCTAACAAGTGATGTACTTGGTCGGCACGACACATGGCCAGCCACCTAAGTCTACTCTCTCTCATCTTATCGCCTATTGGTGCCACACCTAAATTCTCCCAAATGGATTCATTTCAAATTTTGTCCCTTCTTGTCTTGCCATTCATCCATCTCAACATCCTCATCTCCGCTACACTCATTCTATAGGTATATTGTTTTTTGTCCGCCCAACATTCCGCCCCATAGAGCAAAGCTAGTCTCAAAGTTGTCCTATAGAACTTACTCTTCAGCGTCATTAGTATACGGCGATCACACTCGTTATGTGCCTAGAAACAATAAAATTCTAAAATTCGAAATAGATCATTCTATTCTTTATACAAATAACAGAGAGAGATACAGTGACATCCTATGATTGTGGATATTTTGAATGGAAGTCGTATCTTTCTAACTCCTCTATATTGGATACCTTATCTTTCTAGTTCCTTTATAATGGGAAAATAACTACTTTAAGGAAAACGTTCATGTAAGTGTGAAACTCTAAACAATCAAATTAGGGCGCACCTCAAAATTCACTAGAAGAGGTTGTTTTGACGCCCAAATATCCTCAAATTGATCATCTCGAGCTCAAGATGCATGAACATGAGAAAAAAATGGATTTCAAGTTTTGAAAATAGTGCATCTTGTAATGCATTTTCAGATAGTCGATTTTCAAGATTTTCAAGTTTTCATAAATCTGCTCGATCTACACTATTTTTGAAGCTTTAAATTTTATAATTAGTGATGAAAATTTATTTTAAGGCTATCACAAAGATTTACAGTATTGAAACCATATTTCTCGACAATATTTGAAGATGCGCTTTACTTTGATTGTTTAGAGCCTCTTCACAAACTGCACCCCTACTTTAATCGATTCCCTCAAAAATAAAAAAAACTACCTTATCTTCCCATTGTATCACCCGAAACTTAGTAGGTTACCTACTATAATTTCTATTAGCTATATTTAGGGCTGCCAATAAGCACGATTCTGACGGAGACATATTTGACCCTTTTCTCGACTGAAACTGTGAATGTGAGACCCGGCCTAAATTGTAGTTTCAGGTTGGGCTCTGGCACAACCTGTATCAAGAGTACAGAGGCCTGAGCCTAGCCAAGCCTAACAAATTAAGGTTAGGATGGGTGGCGATTAATATGTATAAAAAATATTATTTAATAATATACAAAAACACATTTCATCATCATCATCTGATCCTTATCCCAACTATTTGGAGGCACTACATGAATCTAGTTCCATCATTCCACTCTATCAAGAGCCATAACCTCAATCAAACCACTCTACAAAAACACATATATATTTAATAATACACGCATGCATACATACATACATATATATATATATATATATATATACACACACACACATATGGAAAACGTTTATATAGAGTCGAGGATCTAAACAATCAAATTAGAGCCCAACTCAAAAATTTCACTAGAAGAGGTTGTTTTAATGCCCAATATCCTCAAATTGATCATCCTGACATCAAGATGCATGGACATGAGAAAAAAATTGATCTTGTAGCGCATTTTGGACTGTCAATTTGCAAGATTTTCAAGTTTTCATAGATCTGCTCAATCTACACTATATTTGAAGCTTTAAATTTTATAATTAAAAATGAAAATATATTTTAAGGCTATCACAAAGATTTCTAGTATT